TGTAATAGCTGAGGTACAGTGTCACAGTCATTGTAGAAATAGCAGGTCAACTTGAACCTTGGTCAGGTAAACTAAGATAAATCACATCTTGCAGTAGATTTAAAAGTACGCAAGCTCATGGAAGGGACATTCCTAGGCATTCTAAAAAACTTCTTATTAACCTGAGCCATTATCTTTCACAATTCCAGTCCTTGGCTCTGCTTCTGCACCCCCCACCCTGTACTGAGCAGATTGCCTCACTTTCGGTGGTTCAAGGCAATCGACCTGGTCTGTCACATTGAAATTGCCCAGCCTCAATGCATTCACTCAAGAGGTGAGGTTTGAGCTGTTTCCCATGACAGAAGTCTTTCCCATCAGTTCCCCTTCGAGGATGATGCTACTCCTGATTTCCTGAGATGGGGCACACTGGCCTCTTCAATTTGAAGTTGGGGTGTGTTGGCCTCTTCACTGTTTGCACTGTCTTGGAGCTCGGCTGTGACATCCAGCTTACTCGAACTTTCCCATTTCTTTCTGAAGGTATCACTCTTATCCTTCCCCATCCAAATAGCAACATTCTTTATCATCTATGTTGGAAAGAATTGACCTTTTGCCATTGGTTTGGGATGTTGCTCCCTTCCTGGGCCCTTCCTCTACCCACTCTGCTTCACCAGTTGCTACTCCCTCAGTTGTTTTTCTGTCAGTTCCTCTTCCATTGATTCAGTCTGGAGAGGAGAGGGAGCCTGCTGGTGGTGTAGCACTGCTATTCAGCAGTCTGTTGTCTCATTCTGTTCTTTCCTCTGCTCCCTCCTTATGTCCTTCTTGCTCAATGCAGCACTTTGTTCGCTGGCGTTCTTTTGCATGGTGACCCTCCTGTTCTTCCAGATGATGTGCTGTAATTGGCCTCCACCTGGCCAGATTCGCCACAAGGATGACAAACATTAGGCTCACCAGATGGCAACGAGGGAGGGAGGTTGTGGGGTTGCTCAGTTACCATCCACCTTTTGCGTCATCTTGACCTGCTGTTTGCGGTCCAAATCGCAAACGTATCCTTGACCTTTGTATGGTTGTCAAGTGCCTGGTTAGGAATGCAGGCACATCCACGACAGGAACATGTAGGTTGTAAAGACAGACTGATACCACCCGGCTGCATTCAGATAGCAGAGACATCACTAACTTTAGCTGACACTTCCCTGATTATGGTGTCTCCCTTGCCTGATAGATATTTTTACTCAACCTGTTCAGAAGTGTTACAACCTAGATTTAGAGATGCTGGGACTTTAACCCAGGCCTCTGCTCCGCAGGTAAAAACACTACCACCGCACCACAAAAACGTTCCATCCCCCTGCCTGACAGATGACAGAGTACAGAGTACACTGTAGTGTCCCCTGCGGTAATCTAGCTGAATACTGGTGGAAAATTAATTTGGACTCTTCATGTTTGCACAGCTCATAGCAGACTGTGTAAAGACCAACTGGAGTGTTACAGCAGCCCCAAACCTCTTCTATTTTGCAGTGAGGAAAAAATGTAACAGCTGGTCAATTCATTAGCAGAAAACTGAATAAAGCTTTTATTGGCACAGAGTCAGGTTATGTATGGGAATTTAGTTCGCAAACAGCAAACTCACATGCAAATTATAATTCTGCTCTTTATCGTTAGAAACAAGTGGTTAAGTATGATTATGGAATTAAGATGTGATGCAGCCTTGCTGTCATTGAGTGGTGGTGCAGTTTTCAGGACTGAATGGTCACTTCCTGTTCCTGTGATCCAGCCTTAGTTGATCTTTCATGCTATCAATCATGATGGATATCACCAGCTCACACTGTTGAGATTTTCAGGAAAACTGAAGGATCCTTTCCAATGGTTGTAGCAATGACTCTCTCTCACACACACTCACATACATGCACACACACATTCACACATGCACACTCACATATACACACACTCACATACAGACACATGCATACACACACACATACAGACACACACATGTGTACACATGCGCATGACTCACACACATATGCACACGTACTCTCACATGCACACTCAACCACACACTCTCACACACACACGTGAACACACACACATGCACACACATACACAGACATGCATATGCACACACATGCATAAACACAAATACATTTGCATGCGCACACATATGCTTGCAAACACACACACACATGTATGCATACGCAAGACCAAGGTTTCCCATTAAGGCTTTTGGAAATTCAGACAAGTCCATCCCTCCCACTTCACATTTAGGGAATCTGGAACTGAAGAAACTAGAGAAACTGAACATTTGAGAGAGTCTGATACGTACACTGATCAAAAGGAGGACTAAGCATTAGTGTCATTTGTTTGACCACCTTCACCAATCAGTCCTTTCTAAAAATGCAAATTTATCAAAATTAGTTTTACACAAACAGAAGGGAGATGATCTAGTAATACTTCTTCACCCAAGTTTAACCTGTTTGTAAATATAAGATTCAGGAATATCTGAAGAATAAAATCCTGTTCCATTTTCCCCAATGTGAGTGTGCTCACTTCAGATTTCTGAAGATTTGAAGCTCATTCCAACTATCAACTGATGACTCTGTGTACATTGATTGGAAACATGGTTTTTACACAGGACAGGAAAACTAAATAAAAACCGAAAAAACTTCTGCAAATCAGAAACAAAAACAAAGTTGCTGGAAAATCAGAGTTAACGTTTTGTGCCCGGTGACCCTTCAGGAAGGGTGACCGGACACAAGACGTTAACTCTGATTTTTTCTTCACAGATGCTGCCAGACCCTCTGAGCTTTTCCAGAAACTTCCGTTTTTGTATAGGAAAACTAAAGCTTTGTGCCAAATACCTTTCTTTCATTAACACTGCTATTTTCATGGTTAATCCCCAATTCTGGTTTATTATTCGGATGACCTTAAAACCTTCCTTTTCCTGAGGTTCTGCTTACCAATGTGAATTAAAGAGCAAAGTAAATGCCACACAGAAAGTAGGAGCCATACTATAAAATAAGTAATGGTTCTCAGTCATGGTGTCAATGAGTAAATTACAGCGAAAATAGACCTGCACTTACTAAAACTTCTTAAGCATTTTTGGTTGCATGTGTATGGCACCAAAACCAATTTGTTTTCAGCAAATGGAGTGAATACTGATGGACTTCATTACATTCTTTTTTAGTAATGCAGCCCTTTTCTAAAGGCACTTTATGGGCTATAATTACATAACGAATTTTACGCACAGCAGTACCTATCGTTTTGTACAAATGTTCCCTCTTTACGTATGACACTAGATAGTGAGTGGCAGCCTAAAGTTCAGGACATCACACCAAAGCTTTTTTTTTAACTCATTTGTGGGATGTGGGCGTCGCTGGCTGGCCAGTGTTTATTGCCCATCCCTAGTTACCCTTGAGAAGGTGGTGGTGAGCTGCCTTCTTGAACTGCAGCATCCCACCAACTATGGCTTGACCCACAATGCTATGAGGAAGGGAATTCCAGGATTTTTACCCAGTGACAGTGAAGGAATGGTGATATATTTCCAAATCAGGATGGTGAGTGGCTTGAAGGGAATCTTAAAGGTGGTGGTGTTCCCATATATCTGCTGCCCTTGTGCTTCTCGACGGAAGTGGATGTGGGTTTGGAAGGTGTTGTCTGAGGATCTTTGGTGAATTTCTGCAGTGCATCTTATAGATAGTACACACTGCTGCTACTGAGTGTCAGTAGTGGGAGTGGATGCTTGTGGATGTAGCGCCAATCAAGCGACTGTTTTGTCCTGGGATGGTGTCAAGCTTCTTGAGTGTTTTTGGGGCTGCACTCATCCAGGCAAGTGGGGAGTATTCCATCACACTCCTGACTTGTGCCTTATAGATGGTGGGCAGGCTTTGGGGAGTCAGGAGATGAGTTATTCGCCCCAGTATTCCTAGCCTCTGACCTAATTATCCTTACTTCCTGTGCATTGCACACAGGGAGTCAAAAAATAATGTTATGCTGTTAATTTTCCTTTCTCTCCAAGCCCAAGGGACAATTTTAGTGCACCTACCATTGCCTAAGTTCAATCAATTTAGATTTATCTTTTTTTATTATATCCTGTTAAAGCTAATTCATAGTACTGGATCTAATGCTTTGTATACAAAGTGATGAAGCTCTATCGTTGTTTAACATTGCATTGAACTTACTTCAATATTACTTCCAGAAAAGAAGATTTACTTCAGGAGAAAAGGAAGGAAATTGCATTTACATAATCCCTTTCATAGAAGCATTACAGTGCAGAAATGGGCCATTCAGCCCGTCACACATGCACTAACCCTGTGAAGAGTAATACACCCTGACCCATTCTATCTCCATATGGCTAATCCACCTGGCCTACACATCTTTGGACTGTGGGAGGAAACAGAGTGCCTGGAGAAATAGCACACAGACACAGGGAGAACATGCAAACTCCCTACAAACAAATATTCACAGCTGGATTTGAACCCGGCTCCCCAGCCCGCTGAGACAGCAGTGCTCCCCAGGGAGCCACCGTGCCACGCCACCATGCTGCTTTCATGACCACAGGATCTCCCAAGAGCTTTTCAGCCAATTACATACTTGCAAAGTGTCATCATTTTTATAATGTTGGAAATATAGGGATCAATTTGTACACTGCAAACCCTCACAAACATCTGTGTGACAATGGCCAGATTAGCTATTACTATTATGTTGGCTGAGACATAAATATTAACAAGGGATCTGGGGTCAATCCTCCATTTTTCCTCAAAATGATGCCTCTGGGAGTTTCTGCATTTGCTCAAGAGGACAGATAAGAGATCATTTTATCTTTTCATCTGAAAGACCTCACCTCTGACAATCCCTCACTGGTGCATTGAACTGACAACTTTGATACTATTGAATGATGATTTCCCATCTCCTTCATTACTAATATTCAGTTGTGAGTGGGGACAACTGGGGAGATGGATTCAGCTTCATTGGAAACTTTTATAAGGCGGCACCACAGACTTTTCAAAGTAGAATCATATCCCACTCACCTTTGATCTTGTTGGCATGTAGGTACAGGTTTTCTAAGTTCTCATTGACAGGAGGAATCTTCTGCAGCTTATTATGGGAGAGATCCAACTCAATCAAACTGGACACGTTAAATGTGTTTAATGGTATTCCATTATCCGTTAGTTCATTATTTGAGATCCGCGCATATTGAAGTTTAGGGAACTGTTGGAAGTACTCATCAGGAATTGAGCTGATGTGATTGAAATCCAGGTACAGCTGGTGCAGTGAGTCTGGAAGTACTTCAGGGAGTTTTTTTAGGTGGTTATTGCTGAGGTCCAAGTAAGACAAAGACTTTAAAACTTTGAGGGAGCTTCCGATATCTTCCAGCTCATTGTCATTCAGCAGTAGCTTAGTCAAGTTGTCGAGACCTTCCAGTACATCGGGTTGAACAGTTGAAATCTTGTTTCCTGCAACTCTCAGCTCCCTCAGCGACTTTGGCAAAGGAAAGGGAATCTTCGTGAGATTGTTATGTCCCAAGTACATTCTCTCCAGGTTTGTCAGTTTGGAGAATACATTTGCACCTATCTTGTCATTGGAAATTTTATTCCAATGGAGGACAACCCAGACGAGATGAGTAGCATTGTCAAATACTCCATCTGGCACAGCATCGATCTGGTTGTTCTGCAGGTAAACATATTTCATCCGGGCTGGCACCTCGGGGATATATTTTAACATACGGGTATCACAGTACATAGCCCTGGGAAAGATAGATGGGCAGGTGCATTCAGCAGGGCAGTTGGTTGCCAACGAAGGCTCACGCTCAGTCCCATAATATTGATTACTGTAATACCGAGAATATCCCATAACACGTGCGAGCCAATTGAAATACCCATAGGTGTACTGGCAGGCACCTCCTACAAAAACTGCTGCAAAAACCAGCAGGTGGATCAGCTTCATCCTGGGAATTTAACATGTATAAAATTAATCTTGGTATTCAGTACTTGAAGGTCTATTATTTGCTGAAAAAGAGGGACCTTTTTTGTCAGGACAAACAAAAACAGAACAAAAACACTTATTGCTAGAGAAATTCAGTAGGTCTGGCAGCATCTCTGGAGAGAAAACAGAGTTAACGTTTCGAGTCCAGTGACCCTTCTTGATTTTCTAAATGGAGCAAAACTTCAGAGTGCTTCAGAATGGAGGGATATGTGTCTACTCATGTATTAATCATAGAAAATGAGTATGTAGGTACAACAGTTAATTATGATGGCAAATGGAATTTTGGCATTTATTGCCAAAGGAACAGAGTGCAACACAAGGGTGTTGCTGCAACTGTACAAAACATTAGTGAGACTGCACCTGGGATATTGCATGCAAATTTGTTCTCATTTCTTAAGGAGGGATGGCGTTGTGTTGGAGGAAATTCAAAGGAGGTTTACTGGAATGATTTCAAAGATGAGGGATCATTGTTATGAAGAAAGATTGATCAGTTTAGGCCAATACTCACTGGTGTTTAGAAGAATGAGAGGAGACCTAACTGAAGTACATAAAATGCTAATGGGAATTGAAAAAGTAGATGTAGAAAGGATGTCTCCTCATGTGGGATAGTCAGAACAAGAGGTTATAGTTCTAAGATAAGGGGTGGCAGATTTAAAACAGAGATGAGGAGGAATTAAGTCAGTCATAGGATTGTAAATCTATGGAATTCATTACCTCAGAATGAGGTGGAAGCTGGGACATTGAATAAATTTAAGAAGGAAATAGACAATTTTTTAATTAGTGATGGATTGAAGGTTTATGGAGAGTAGATGGTAAAGTGGAGCTGAGGCTGAGATGAGATCAGCCATGATCATATCAAATAGCATTCGCAGGCTTCAGGGGCTGAATTGCCTATGCCTGGTCTTATATTCTTACATGGGTGTCACTGGCTTGGCCAATGTTTATCACCTATCTGTAATTGACAAGAAGACAGTTAAGAGACAGCCACATTGCTGTGGGTCTAGAGTCACATATAGGCAAGACCAGGTAAGGATGGCAGATTTCCTGCCCTGAAGGGCATTCGTGAATCAGATGTGTTATTCAGACCATCAATAGTTGTTACATGGTAAACATTAGGGTAGCTTTTTATTCAAGGTTTTGTTTTAATGAATTCAAAGTTCACCATTTGCCAGAGTGGTATTTGTCCCCAGAACTATAACCTGGGCTGTTGGGTTGTCAGTCTAGTGATATTACCACTATGGCACAACTTACCCATGGCCTGCACTGTTTCTCTGATGTTTATTGTTCACTGAATATCATTCCAACTGTGCTTTCTCAAGGTCCTTACAAGATGCTTCTTTTACAATAAGCTATCTACTTTCATTTTTATTTTTTATTCTCTTTCTCTTCCTTGTCAACATTTCATGATCATATATACCACAGCACTATAATGATTACCAACTCTTTCTTTCTTATTTGGATGTGTTCTTTAAAATTGTTATGCCTCCACTGGCCAATGGAAATAGTCTTTGGTGGTTTATTTATTTTGTGAAAACTCCTCATATTTGTCAATACATTGGACATTTGACCTCTTACCCTGTTTTAATAATAGAGTTTGAGTTTCTCTAAATTTGCCTCTTAATTAAAGTCTCTCACATTCTCATCATCCCAGTAGATCTCTTCAGTGCCCTCTCTATGATGTATTCATTTGAGTTGAATGCACTGTACAGCACATAAAAATAGATTACCTGTTGCTCAAACAGACATCTGATTACTGAGCTGATTCTGGGAGACTCAACTTAGCACTTAATCAAGGTTATTTAAAGTGAACTGCTCAAATTTTATAATTATTGGTTAAATATTAACTGCTGACCTCAGAACTGTGGTAATAACTAGTGCATGGATTTCCTTTTTCTCAAGTTTAAGATATATCCAAGGATCCAGTAACAGTGATATCAACAATCTCAACAAGCAGCCAATCACATTGGCAGTAGTCTAGCAGAAAGCAAATTTGGAAGTCAGTCAAAAGCAATGATTATCCTTAATGTCATTTATAAAGTGAGTAAAATAAAAATTGGAACATGCACATGGAGGATAAGGTACAAGATGAAATATGAGGGGGAGAAACTTTTTAAAAAGTAGTATTATTTTAAAAATGTCTTGAATTTATATAAGTGTGTACATTTGATTTTGTGTTAAATTTGAGCAAGACTTTTATTGGAAAGCATTGGGCAAACCCTGTTCTGCTGGTACTTTGAAACAAAAACATGAACAAACAGCCATGGTTATTCAAACAGACTGCCTCAATTATTGAACCAGATGCTAATTAGGCCAACATTGGTTCATGCAGCCAAACTACTTTGAATCTTTTGGTTTGCTCTGTCACTGTGGAGATAATTTGACATGCATCACATGAGTCAGCTAATCAGGCACACCTTATTTCAGGAATAGTCTTTACGAGCTGAATTAGAAGAAAACCTGTAAAACTTGCAATCCTAGCTCCTTTGCTATTTCCTTTCTTGTCCTTGAGCTTCTGCACACACTTCATTTCTTGCAAACACAATAAACCTACTGTAAAAATGTTTTATTTGTTTTGCACGTGACACATGTTTAAATATATTTTCCCATGATTCCCAATAGATGAACAGTTAAATATTTACAAGGTAGTAGTTCTTTTATACCAGAGGCGATCTTAACTATATTTTTATTTAGCATGAGGTTAAAAATAATCCACAAATGTGAAATAAACTAGCTCATTCATTCTAGGTTTATTGATGGAAACCCACAGAGGAAAAAAAACTTATGCATAATGTCCCTTTTGAGTGTCATGGAACCAAAAACATTTACTTAAAACAAGTTTCACGTTACTTTGAGAATGCCATACTTTGAATGGCAAAAATTAGTTTCCATATTCCACTTCTGAATCCTGTTGATGTTCAAAACAAGAAATAGAGAAAAGACCTTTTGAGTTGACATAATAAAAAAAATTCTGTGTACAACGCAGAACTCTTCATAAAGAGCAACTGTTGATTCTCATTGAATAGATTCCAGTGCAGTATTGAGGGAATGCAGGACAGGCAGAAGTGCTCTCATGCAGCTGAGGAGTTAACCTATAGCATCCTCTGTCTCTCTGGTGGATGTAGAAGACTTCATGGTCTTGCTTGATGACAGGCAGGGCATACTCTGAATACCTGAGCTAATGTTATGCCCTCAGCCAACATTTCCAGATGTGGAGGTGCTGGTGTTGGACTGGGGTGGATAAAGTCAGAAGTCACACAGTACCAGGTTATAGTCCGACAGGTTTTAGGGGACCTGACAAAGGAGCAGCACTCCAAAAGCATGTGATTTCAAATAAACCTTTTGAACTATAACTTGATGACGTGTGACTTCTGACTTTGAACTGTTCCAGAAACAGATTTGCTGGATATTTATCTCTGTGATGGGAAATAACAGCATCATTTCAGTAATTAATCAGCTGCAAAGCTTCATGATGTATCCTTAGACACTGACAACAGAGTCAGATGAGATATTAAAATTGCTTGCATCCATATTTTGGACATTTCAGATGTTTTTAGCCCTCAAAATTGGTATCCGTGTTGTGAAATTGAACACGATGCCAGATTGCTTGGGGCACTAGCTTGTGCCCAGACAATAGCGCTGGAACTTAACACCAGCCATGTCATTTTGGAGCTCAATCCTCCAATAAATACCCACACAAAACCTTTGAAATGTGATTCCAGATTTAGCATTGCAAAGGACTGCACTCAACCTCCATCCTACCAGAGCTATTTAAAGGAATCATCAACGACTTCAGGTCAATAGCTCTTTGTTTTCTTCTGGATGCTGCTATGATTCTACAGACGCTTGGTGTTTTCCACAGTTTCTTCAAGTTTCAAAAGTCTGCAAGTGTGGCAGGTGCTGATGAACTTCAAATTTGCTCAAACCAGTAACTATTTAGGCTACGCAAGATTATAACATAATTTGAAGAATGAGTTGAGGTCAAATAGAACAGGTCCAGCTTCTGGAAGTGGAAGGAAGGAGGGAGGAAAGGATTGAAGCAAGAGACACTGACCATCCAGAATGTTCGTGGAGCATTTCTGCTCCGTGAATCTCAGTGAGGAACAATGTGTGAGAGGTACATGGCTCAGTAAGGACCATCCTTACTGAAATTTTCCACCAGCTGCATGCTCACAGCCAGGTAAGGACCATATTGTCAGTAATTGTGAAAGTAAAGGTGGAAATGAATATTCATGCTTGTAGCTCGTTCCAATCTGGGGCTGGAAGCCATTACAACATTGCAAAGTTTACCTTCCACAAATTCACCATGTGAGGCTTTCTACTCAATGTAATCTATTTATGCCCAATGGCACAGTGGTTAGCATTGCTGCCTCACAGAGCTAGGGAGCCATGTTCAATTCCAACATTTGGTGACTGTCTGTGTGTAGCTTGTACATTCTCCCCATGTCTGCTTGGGTTCCTCCTACAGTCCAAAGTGTGCAGGTTATGTGGATTGGCCATGGGTAATGTGGGGTTACAGGGTTTAGGTGGGAGAGTGGGTGCTCTACGGAGAGTCGGTGCAAACTCGATAGGCCAAATAGTCTCTATCTGTACTGTAGGATTTCCATGATTCTGTGCTTCATTCTCGCTTGTTAGAAAGATGTGGGTGGAGCAAACATAAAGCTTTGCTGAGATTTCTCACAGTACAAGGGGGCATTGACTGGCAGACATATTTCTTGCTATCTCAGCCTAGCACTATAAATTCAAGGAATTTCACTCCTTTAATCACTCAGGAATGTGCTGGATCATACCCAGTAAGTATTGCAGGTTAATCCTCAGTAACCTAGATGCAATCATAATAACTTGTTCTGTGGGAGGCCACTAAATAAGCTGCATTGGATCCACCAAGGGCTACCTGCTGAGCATCCTAAATCCATGGCTACAGTCTGCAATCCACCACATATTTGTACAACATACATAGAATAA